TGTGCATAAGCTGAACATACAAACACATTTCATTTATAAGACCTGCATGCATCATTATAAGAAATAATTTAGTTTGGTAATATATTCATTACAGGTTTCAAAGGTTAAATATCTGACATTATCAAATATGCTCATGTTCTTTTTTCTGGCAATCAACATTGCCAACCCTCCAACTATTTGATCAGGAACTGCTTAACCTGCCGGAGTACTCGAGTCCAACCCCGGTTCTTTGCTTAGGTTTTTGTTGCTTAATCTCTAGCTTTCTTTGCAGAGTTTTTGGGGACTGTTGTTTATCTGCTCGTTGTATTTCTTTTGTCAATCTTGTCGTTGGTTTTTCTTAGGCCTGTGTTTTTACCTCCTCCTCCCCTCCCCCATGAAATCTTCTGTCCCCATTTATTTCTCATGTCCACACTACCAATGATACATGAAATATTTCACATTTCAATAATTAGTTCATTAGTTTATGCATTTTATCTGTATTTTCTCGATGCAGATTTTATCTTCTACATGAAATGTTATATAGTCTGTGTCTTGAAACAGAAATCGTAATTTTGGAGAATAAGAGCTTGTCATTTGTGTACAGACTTTGTCTATTGTTGAAGGCTGTATGGTTGACCTCTAGATGTCTCTCGGTAACGTGTGTCTTTGGGGTATGTGTCATTGACATCCACTGTATATCCCGTTATTCATGTTTTATAAAACCTGTTCAATTTAATATGTCATTTTCTTTTAAAGATTAATTATTATGACAAAATCTAATATAAAAAGCACTGCAAATAACAAATGCACTGTGTGTACATGTAGATTTCAGAAAATTTTCGGATAGGAAATGGTTTTTAAAAACGTGTGCTACGTGTATTTACATCGACCTGTGTAATGTTAAACAAACATTTTTTTTTCCCTTAAATGCCAATGACATTATCGTTTACTTACTTTTCTGAAAAAACAAAAAAATATGTAAATGTTTTGTGGCCAGTCAAGATGACCGCAATTTTAATATCTATCAATTTGTGAGGTTAACCAATTTCTCAATTACGTATAAGATGAAATTGACATTAACCTGACATGAGGTCCCTCACTGGTATAGAACATAAATATCTCATAACCAAATTTACGTTATTGAAGTCATGTATTCATATAAAAAAAAAGTCAATGTACTCTTATATTAATCATGACAAATATTGGTTATCAAGCAATGTCAAAATTTAAACTTAATTAACAAATTATTATTTTTTTTAGATATAGGTTATTTAAAAGGACAAAAATGGACACCTCCTTGTTTTATCAAGAATATTGGTTGGAATATTAAAGAATATTTACTTTGGAATAAGTTAAAAAAACAAACAAACAAAAAATCAGAAAAAGGGGGTCCATGATTCCCCCAAGCGCCTGTGATCCGTAATGAAATAATTTATGAACTCCGTATTACAATGAAAGATGCACGAGATTTGCCTTTGAACTCTGTAAAGTATAAAACCGTGACATTTCGAATTAAACCCATTCAAAAATATATAATGATTGTTACCGATTATCTTTTATTAGTTTTCACTATTTACAAAATACTTTGTTCAATTATTATATCAAACGTTGTTACATTTTTTGTATTTCGTTTTTGTTTCATAAAGTTTAAATGTACAATTATAAGATAAATATTATAATACTAATGATATTTCTAATTTTTAAGCTTATTATTATTTACTACTGGTGAAATTCGATGCATTTTTAAACATTTAAAATTTAAAAATCATATTTTTCTTTACGCTTAATTAGGACAACGGTTAGGACGTCCTAGCTAAGATAGTCCTAAGATAGCTTCGATGTGCTTGCTGAGACATTTCCTAAGTCCGTCCTAACATTATCCTTATTTATTCCTTAGATAAGTCTTAGGACAGATCCTAGGACAGCTTCGATAAATAGGCCCCTGTTTTCGATAAATTTTAGCAGAACAAGAAAATACTTTGTAACGGCTCTCTAGTGTCCGATAATTTGCTTTGTCACATATCAGGGAACATCGCAATTCTTTTAGTTCCTTATTTTATAAGTACACTCCATCCAATACAAAACAGACGTATTTGTTTTAAATATTTTTTTACATTTGCAAAATAATGAAATCAAAAGTTTAATCCTTGCTCCAACAGTTTATACACTGTACTGCTAATTAGCATTTAGACATAGCTCTTAATTTGTACATTGGTTTTCTTATGACAAATAACAATGATTATTTTCTGCATAGGACCTTTTTGCAATTCCTTACATCTAAAGAACTAGACACAAATTCAAGTGGACTAAAATTTACACCATTGCATGTAACTAACACAGAGTCATGTAGCCCCAGGCCATGAAAAACAAAAACAATAAATTACTAGTTTAACCACGTGCGCGTGTTGTCTAGTCTTCAGACAGAATGCATCGTGTATCACAAACTATTTTTCAGAACATAAAAAATATACACCCTAGGGGAATTGTGTACTACATCATGTTAATAATGATAGATAATAATATAAAACTTGTAAAAGAATAATCACCTTCGTCATTTGTGAAGGTAAACAAATACACATGAAACAAACAAAAACAAGAAAATAAACTATCACGCCTAGAATTAATTTCAGTTTGTATGTTCCAATTAAGATAAGTTTGTTTCCAGAAATACGGATCTGCATTTTTCCTATTTTTTTTATTTTTTTCATTTTTATTCAGCCTTTTTGATTTATAGTATATTTTTTCTCATCCGGATCATGAATGAAACATTTAACACAGGTTGTTAAGCAAACAACAATTAGTCATCAATCACTCCCCCAACAAACGCTGTATCTGCCTAATTACGCGTTGCATTCTGATGAATCGAGGCATGCAGCTAATGCATACTATTTCTAAAATGCAACACCTTAAACTAGGAATTTAGCCATTTTCAATAAGATTTTTTAATGTGCAGAGTAAATCATTTATTGGAGAGATATATACGATAGTATAATTTAATATCATTCTTGTTAATATCTATGTTTGACTAGACCCAGTTCCATTCGGGTCACCGCGGGTTTTTGTGGGTTCGTGTTGCTCAGTCTTTTTCGTGTAGTTTTGAAGACCTTTGTTGATTATGTCAGTCTTACTTCGACTTATGGGTTCTGGTCATCCCTTTAGTACCATCTGCCTTTTTTTCATCCCTCCCAAATAGTGCAGTCAGTATCGTGCTTCAATGGCTAAATTAGCGCTAGTCGGAGAGATCGATTACGGGGAAGACCTGAATTATTAGGTTTCATCAAACCATATTCATGTACACTTACACTAAACTTCATCATAATGAATAAAGGAACGATTTCCCTGCGCACATATTTGTATATTATTTTGTGATTGTGACTTTGCAAACATGAAAATCATTCTCAAATTCACTGTGTGTGGTGAAAGTCTAAAATTTCAGAAAACCAACAAGTGTCTTAGCTTATTTCATACCACAGGTTTTTACTTATATATTGATTTGAACAAGCGTCTAAGTATAATAAATTTCAGCAAATGTTTTGGTAAACTTAATCCCGTCAAGTGTCTTGGCAAAATTCATCACAGCAAGTATCTTAGGCAACTTGATCTCAACAAACGTCTTAGAAAAATTAATTCTAGCAAATGTATTGATCCACTTAATCCCATCAAGCGTCTTGGCAAATTCATCACAGCAAGTGTCTTAGTCAACTTGATCTCAACAAGCGTCTTTAAAAAAAATTATCCCAGCGAATCTCTTAGAGAAATGTATTTCAACAATCATTTTAGGCAACATTAGCTAAGCAAGAGGCTTAGCAAAATTCAACCAAGCAAACGTTTCAGTTAAAGATATCGAACCTAGCTTTTTGGTCAACTGTATTCGACAAGCATATCACAGCAAATAAATATAAGCAAGCTTAGCAAATCATTGTCAAATTTGTTATAGCGCAAAAGGTTAGCTCAAGTTCAACCGTAGAGAGACTGGAAAAAGTCAGAGATATTCATAGTCCCTATTATTTGGACTATTTAGTATAAGACACCAATTTGTAGTCAGATCCAAAGAGACGCTTAACATGATTCATGTGTAAGTAAGTAAGTTAATAATAACAATGAAAGTGTTTTGTGAGATCGAATTTTATAGTAAGGGCTCTAATCTTTGCGCAGTCCTCATTTTCGATAGATATTTTGTTCTTCCGATTTTGTTATTTTAGCTCACACTACATTATTCCATTTAAAACAAATCCCCCCGAAAAAAAATAGTTTTAATTCCATTCAAAATTATCGTTTCCACGTGGGAACTAATTTAGATATTATATCCTTAACACTGCAAACCAGATGCGGATCTAAGGGCCGATTTACCTCTCACTTAGTGCAAAATAATTTTTTTTTAATGTATTTTTCTGTTTTATACCTCCCGGGCCTCTTATCTACATGTACCAGTACATCCTATCAAATATTGAATATTTTTTCTACACAAGACTGTATATTTTGTGTTATATTTATCTTTACAGTGTCTTTTGTCTGTTCCTCCTTTAATAGGAACACGTGTTGACTTATTGTAACACTATAGACGTACTAGAGCCACATGTTGCAAGCGATATATTTTTTTCTATTAACCTTTCTTTTGTATGCTATGTATGTGTTTATATGTAGGACAAGCAATCTCGTGTTTATCAGATACTTAACATACTTTCTATATATTACACAAGATATTAAATATCTGTACAAAAGATGATTTATTAAATAATAAAACTGACAAAAGAGCCTTTTTGTCCGGTCACATCGCATCGCAGATATAGGTAATATATATATATATATATATATTTTTTTTTTATTTACAATTTTAATTATTTTGAAATTGATTTTTTTCCCTTGAGAGTTGATGTAAGTATAATGTAGTTGCATTGGGATATAATTGATTGCAAAATTGTACAAAAAGCTAGTTTTTTTCAAATGACAACTTCCTTATGTTAAATCATATTAAATCTATTAAGAATTAATAGATAAATTATAAGAAATTTAAAACTCACCCCCTCCATTTCGGTAACAAATGTATGGAAAACGCCAAACATTTCCGAGATCCACTGCAAATCCTATGACAGACAATAAAAACTCCGTCTTTTTACCCCATGTTTCTCTTTCCTCTGTTGCATCTTCTTTTAATGATTCCTCATCATTAGACATAATTCCATTTTTCTTAGTTTCATTTTTAGTCTCACCATTCTTAAGCAATAATTCATTCGGGGGAGACATCGGACTCTTAGTAGTCCTTCGTTTGGGTTCAACTTTGTAATTCACATATTTTTCTTCTTTCTTCTTTCCTTCATTATTTTTATCTCTCTTTTTAACTGTTTTCTGAACCTTATTGTCATCGGTTAAGTTTTCATCCTCTAATACATCACATTGGTTGACAAACTGTACGTCTACCGGTGACCTCGTGTAGCTAATCGTAAATGGTTTTACGTTCATTGTTGGTAGTCAATGAAGTCAATATCCAGTGATCCGATTGGCTGAGACAGAATGCCCAAATCACCTGTCAAAAGACGTTACCTATCCAATGTTATTACGTTAATCGTATCAGTTATTCCACATTTAACTCAAATCTAGCTAGTTACAGCAATTTATCCAAGAAATTATAAATGTTTTGTTAATTATATTAAAATCAGAATATTCATATTTTCGATTTAAAAAAAAACAATGAAATATAACACAGTGCAGAAATGACATTTCCGACTTATTAATCACTTAAACGAGTTATGTAATTAGTAAATTTTCGCACAAAAAATATGTCATTCTTTCGGCCGCCTACTTACAATAGAAGGTAATTTGCATTTGTCTATCGATCATTGTCCGTGCGTACAAATAATTTAGGGATGTAAATTTCTCCATAATCGTTTTAAACTTTCACTACAAATTGATTAATATAAACCACTATTTAATCACTCATATACAGTAACAAATCTACCATCCGCATGAATGAGAAAGGCTGTTCATTGTAATACACTTTACTTCAGTAATCAACGCCCTCTCGGCTATTTTTCACCAAAACAACGAAATGATTTTTTTGACGGCTGCATCCATCACCGTTTTATTTAAACGAACGGAAAATCAATTATAGACCACAAAAGTTCATATAAAAGCTGTAAAACACGTTTAAGATAAATCACAAATTTAATCTGATATATTTGTAGCAATCAATGTCTGATCCAGTGAAGATATATCATAACAAATTACATGCCAGTTGTATTTTTTGAAATATATAAATAAATCTCATCTATAGTACTTCAAATGTAACATTAATCAAAACACTGTCATAGTGTTGACGTTTATGTCCTACTTAGGAATAGCAAAATTTAAATTTGAAAATTATTAACCGTTTGCTGTTGACTATTTCGCTGAGAAAGATTTCTCATCGTAAATCATTTTGAAGACATCTTATCGGAAGCTGTAATAATGAAAAAGCAGGAAGATTTGTAGATCTATGGAGGTACGTAGCGGTTTTCTGTGTGTTTATTACTAGTATTATAGCACATTGAAATCGACGAAAATTTGACTACTCCCTCCTTTCGAAATGAAACAGCTCCTCCTGAACCCCATTCCCTACAATTTTCAGGATCAACACCTTTTAGATGAGATTATCACCAGTCCTCAAGTCTGGTTGGAATGGGAGCGTTAAACCCGATGCCCGGTCTGTGTAGGGTGAGTTCCACGCCCTCTACACGTTAATGAAACACCCCTTGCAACAGTTTGGAATTCGTATGAGGCCTGTCACTATCCAAAAAACCAATAATTTTACATGGTGGTCCATATTTCCGACCCTTCATCCCGGTCGACATATCTATTAAATGTATTGATAATTTTTTTTATCATTCTGAATATGCATGAAATATTTGCCAATGAAGTTAAACTAGCAACAATCAATCAATCGAAATTCCCCAAACCAAAGATTTTTATATACATGTATTAAGGTTACATGCAGCCAATTTGCCGTTTTAGATTCTTATGAATTCTGGTAATATTTTCACAAGCGTACGTGTAAAACGTTGTGATTGGCTTACAACGTCCAAAAACAGTGGGGTTTCAACCAATGACATGACGTTATTTTCATTTTTGGGTACGAATAATGAAATAACCAACATTCCTTTAGATTCTAAAACTACCAGTTACAGCTAAATGTGTGATATACATTCTGTACTTTCCTATGAACTAAACGCTCACATCACCAATGTGGAACACTGAAGACGCATAAATACGTGACAAAAAATGAATAGATCAAATCATCGGCTGACTAAAATGAGGCCATATAAATATTGTATACATTACAATATCTCTAATTGTGTATTTTCTAAAGACCGTTGCGTCAGGAGCCTCAAATCAGACCGTGTGGACATTTTGTGTAGATGAGCTTGTTTCATCAAGACATTGTGTTTAAAAATCATCAAGATTCGCTGTGAAACTTAACATGAGTTAACATGCAACGTATGAAGCATTGTTTAGTTTTTGACGAAAAAATAACTATATTTTTTGGTAAGGGTTCGTTAAAGCCTGCTTGCATATGAGACAACTCTCCACCAGAGACCAAATTACATAGAAGTTAACAACTTAACGGCCTTCAACAATAAGCAAAACCCATACGGCATAGGCAGCTATAAAAGGCCCCGACATGAAAAATGTAAATCAATATAAAAGAGAAAACTAACAGCCTAATTTATGTACAAAAAAATGAACAAAAAATAAATATGATATACAGCAACAAACGACAACCATTGAATCACAGACTCCTGACTTGGGACAGGCACACACAGAATTGGCGGAGTTAAACATGTTTGCTTGCGCCAAACCTTCCCCTAACCTGGAATATTGGTGTAACAGTACAACATAAGAACAAACTATAACAAGAGCTGTCAAAATGACAGTAAACCGGATTCTTTAACATTTATTTGTGTTCTGGCATTAATCAATATCACAAGGACCAAAACTCCTAATAGGTAAAATTTATGATCATCAATATCAAACTTGACTTCCATGTTGTCAACAATAACAACATATAAACTAGATAGAAAATGACCCTCTAGCAGGACAAACTGTGTGCCCTTAATGCATAAAGTAAAAAAAAATTACTAAGTCCACCTACCTAGGATTTTGAAAATATCTAAAAAAAAAAAATGAATGAATTGTATGGTTTTCAAATGGAAAGGCAAAAATCAAGCTTGACCTGTTTGACCATCATTTTGAAATATTAGAGAGCATATAAGTACACACACGTTTGTTCAGCAGGGGTGGGTAGGCAGAAATCATGAAGTCAAACAAGGAAGAGATACGTTTATGAGACTTAAACCTTATAAAATATGAAACCATAGTATCTTGTGGTAAAAAGAAAATAAACCGAAAGGTTTGGTTGAACGGTTCATGAGTAAATGCACGGACACGACAATTTTTAAACTTTCAAGAACCGTAACTCCTGAATGGTACAAGTCAAAATCGTGATTATTGAACTTGACCTCCATTTTGTTGTCAGTAACAACATATTAAAATTTAAAAAGGTTTGGTTGAACAGTTCATGAGTAAATGCACGGACACGACATTTTTTAAACTTTCAAGAAACGTAACTCCTGAACGGTAAAAGTCAAAATCGTCATTATTGAACTTGACCTCCATTTTGTTGTCAGTAACAACATATTAAAATTTAAAAAGGTTTGGTTGAACAGTTCATGAGTAAATGCACGGACACGACATTTTTTAAACTTTCATGAACCGTAACTCCTGAACGGTAAAAGTCAAAATCGTCATTATTGAACTTGACCTCCATTTTGTTGTCAGTAACAACATATTAAAATTTAAAAAGGTTTGGTTGAACGGTTCATGAGTAAATGCACGGACACGACATTTTTTAAACTTTCAAGAACCGTAACTCCTGAACGGTAAAAGTCAAAATCGTCATTATTAAATTTGACCTCCATTTTGTTGTCAGTAACAACATATTAACATTTTAAAAGGTTTGGTTGAATGATTCATGAGAAAATGCCCGCCCGCCCGCCCGACCGACCGACCGACCGCCCGCCGTACATCCCCAAATCAATAACCGACATTTTTGACACAAAAATCCGGTTAAAAATAAGTTTAAAAGGACTTAACTCATCATATCGATACAAAGCAGAAAAACACAGACTGGACATGGCGGGTTTTGTTTAATTGAACACACCATCTGTTTTTTTTTTTTTTAATTGTACAAAAAAGTTTAACATGTATAAAATGGCACAAATGGGTACTTCCCTTCTCCAAAAACACGTAGTATAAATCCAATGGGTTTTCTACGGAAGCCGATAAGGGCCATTCAAAAAAAAAAATTTATGTCGTAATTACGACATAACATGTCGTAATAACGACATCACTATGTCGTAATAACGACATCACTATGTCGTAATTTCGACATAACATGTCGTTATAACGACATTGCTATGTCGTAATTTCCACATAACATGTCGTTATAACGACATCGCTATGTCGTAATTTCGACATAACAAGTCGTAATTACGACATCACTATGTCGTTATTACGACATAGCTATGTCGTAATAACGACATCGCTATATATATAAAAGAATATGTATTATGATTGCCAAGAGACTAAATGACACAGAAATTAACAACTATATGTCATCATAATGCCCTCAATAATGAGAAAAGCCCCCGCATAGTCAGCTATAAAAGAGGAACGAAAGATACCAGAGGGAGAGTCTCCGAAATGACAGCTGTTTAACAATTTAATTCAAACGAGTGAAAATAACGGTTTTAATAATGTACAAACAAAGACCGAAACACGAATATGTAACACAGCAACAAATGACAACCACTAAATTACAGACTCCTGACCGCTATCTGATAATAACGACAACCTTATAGTTTAACTTTCACTTTTTGAAGCGAAAGGAATTTCAAAATGGTCGCCAGTAAAGGCAAAGTTTGTAGCGTAAACAAATTCATCTTTTTTTTTTTAGAATATTGAACACTTTATGCAATCAAGCTTAATTAAAGTTATTCACTTGCACCTCAGACTTGCACATACTAGAACTTTATTTATAATCAAGTCAAATGAGACCCAGTTGAATAGGAGAGCAATTCAAGCTCCCTGGAGCCTCTAATTATGTTTGGCATTGCAGGTTCTGAATAAGATGAATTTTAAGCTTTTCCCAATAAAGACTATGTTAAACTTTGGACTCATAGTGCTCAGACCCACGGATCTCTGTACTTTCATTTGTACACACTTGAATCTTAATGTACTACTGAGGCTTGGTGCAAATTATAACTGCATTGCTATTGTTGGTTCTTAATGAGATTCTTCAAGCGTCCTCCCCATTGAAGCCCTATTAAAACTTTGTACCCCAAGTTCTTTTAACCACTGTTCCCTAGGAGAACTATTCCTACAAACTTAGAGGGAGGGTTGGGATCCCGCTAACATGTTTAACCCCGCCACATTCTTAATGTATGTGTCTGTCCCAAGTCTTTAATTTACATATTTGTTTTTCGTTTATTTTTGTACATAAAATAGGCCGCTAGTTTTTCTCGTTTGAATTGTATTACATTTGTCATTTCGGGGCCTTTTATAGCTGACTATGCG